CTTCTGACTCGGCGAGTCAGGTCGCGAGTCTTAGATTCCCTGTTCAGTAGTAGCGAGTTTGTTTAGTGAGTGGAGTAAAGACTCAGTGAGTTAAGACATGGATTTGAGTGTAGAGGGACTCGACGAGTCTACGCCCTGACTCAGCGAGTCCAAGGCAATCTCCTTACCCGTAAGAACAGACTCGACGAGTTGTTCATACAACTCGGCGAGTCACAGACTGGATGTAACACCCAAATTTTCAAAACAATTTTTCACATTTTATAAAACACGTTTTCATTCATAATCGTTATAAAAACACCATTGTATCACATAACATCATCTCCCAAGATCATAATAAAATCTCCCCGCGTGTGTACTGATCAAGCCGGCGCCTTCCCGCGATCCTCGCTGGTACCTGAGACACATAACACAACACTGTAAGCATAAATGCCTAGTGAGTTCCCCAAAATACCACACATAACACATATTAGCCACTCGAGGCTATAACTCTGTTTGACACTCTGGTCAAAGTGTCTCTGTGGGACCCCCCAGTCCCATAACTCTGTGGGCCCTCTGGCCCTAACTCTATGGGTCCTCTGACCCTAACTCTGTGGACCTTCCGGTCCTAACTCTGAAAACTCTGTAACATACATAGCATATAACACATAGAAATCACATCATGCAAAAGCATACACAATACTCTGTCTCATAGCTCTAATTACCACTCTAGGTAAAGTATAGTGAGAAGACTCACCTCGGGTAACTCGGTAAAGCTCGAACTCTGTAAAATCGGGTCTAGCCTCCGCCTAATCATGTGAAATAAATACTCTAAATCAATACATCTCTCAAGGCTAGACTATTCCTCCTCTTAGTACTCTCAGAAGGGTAAAAGACCATTTTACCCCTCTCATAACTCAAAGGCCCCACTATAGACCAAACCCTAAAAGTCAACCAAAAGTCAACCCTCCGGGTTACGCTGCGCATACCAGATGTGTACGTTGGGGGTACCCGACAGTCTCTCAGAATCGGGGAACGCCACCCCGTTCGCCGCGCGTACTGGGATTACGCCCGGCGTAAATCCCAGTTTCAGTCCCTTAGCTCTTGAGGTCTTAAACAGTTAAGACTCACGTCTAACTTTTAGATCTGACCATTTCTAAGCCTCTTAATCCATAAAGTCGATGACTTTAAGCCTTTGCATGGCTGAACAAGTCAATAACACCCAAAATATACCATTTCCTAACACTAGAAAGCCCAATACTCAAGCATAATCTCATATCCACGACCAAGATGGGAACTTTATGGATCTATAACACAAATACCACTGAAATGGGACAGATCTAGGTCCATGGAGCTCATTACACTCATAAAGTCTCCACCTTTGGGACTTTTAACCCTAAAATGGTCCATGAAGCAACAAACCAAATTAAGAGGAAAGTTTTGAACTTTATACCTCCAAATGCAGCTCCTTCCTCTGTAGATCTCAGATCCAAACTTGCACTTCAAGCTCTAGTCTCCACAAACTCCTCTCCTTCTTCTTCACTAGCACACCAAGGCACTTTTAGCTCCAAAATCACACACACTCACTAAGAACGATGAAAAGTTCTCTCTTAGGGTTTTACTCACTGCTATGGAGGCTGAGAAATGAGCCTTAGCATCCAATATATAGGGCACAAGTCAGAAATTAGGGTTTGCACATGGACGCATTACGCCCAGCGTAACCCTGAGTACGCCCAGCGTACTCAGGCGAGTCCGCGTCCAAAATAAGCGCATGAGTACGCGCAGCGTACTCTTGAGTACGCCCAGCGTACTCATTTGCTACCAATTCCTCTTAAGGGCTTAACTTGACACTTTGAATAAAAGAAGGGCTACATAGCTGTACCTGAATTTCGGGATGTTACACTGGACGTGTTCTTATGTTGAAGGTGAACTCGACGAGTTGATCATACAACTCAGCGAGTCGGATGAAGGTTGGCAGGATATCAGTAAAGAAGGAGAACTCGTCGAGTTTTGGTTAAACTCGACGAGTAGAGTCGGGAAGGGGAGTAGAAGGAAAGATAGGGACTCGACGAGTTGGCGGCCCAACTCGGCGAGTCAGGTCAACGGATTGTTGACTTTGACCAGGGGTAAAATAGTCATTTTACCCTAAGATTAGTTATCAGTGTCTGATTAAGCGTCTTTTGAGAATTGTAGCCGGGGAGTTACCGGAGCAGCAGTCAGACAGTTTCCGAGCAGCATTTCAGCAGCCAACCTTACGAGGTGAGTTTTCCTTCCAGTAGGAACGGGTCTACGGCCACAATGCCGACCCGTTTAGTTAGCATTAGTTCTGGACTACAGTCTGATGCAGTAGTTCAGTATGCTTTGTGTCTTTGTGATATAGGCATGGTATGTGTTATGTGTTCCGTACTATGGTCCGATGCAGTATGCAGTATATGTGTTCATATTATATACTATGATTATGTTATGCTATGTTTAGTCAGTTCCGGACTTCGGTCCGATGCAGTGGAAAAGGCCCTAGTCAGTTTCGGACTTCAGTCTGATGCAGTTTCGGACTTCGGTCCGATGCAGTGGGCAAGGCCCTAGTTAGTTCCGGACTTCGGTCCGATGCAGTTCCGGACTTCGGTCAGATGCAGTGAGCAAGGCCCTAGTTAGTTCCGGACTTCGGTCCGATGCAGTGGGCAAGGCCCAGTATGTGCTTTATATGTTATTGTATGGTATATGGTAGTTTAGGGGAGCTCACAAAGCTTCGTGCTTATAGTTTCAGTTTTGGTTTCAGGTACTTCAGCTAGCAAAGGGAAGGGCTCGGGATGATGGCATGACACATACCACAATTTAGCCTGGGAGTTAGACTCTGATATTTTGATACGATCTTGACACTAGTTTCGATTTGATAAATCTATTATGACATTTTGAGATACACGATTCATGGTTTTTATCTTTCAATATTTGATATTATGGTTTAGTAAAGTTTTCAAACAAAATATTTTGGGTTGTATTTTTGGGATGTTACAGAATTAATGGATATTATTATTAATAAATCATTTATAAACATATAAATTTTTTTATTATAAACAAAGGAAATACATTTTTAGCTAATTTCTAGGAATAAAATGGTTGACTATGTACTTCTCTATTGTTTGTTGACCATTTCAAAGTCCTTATGTTCCTCCTATGTATCGTTGTGGGTGTCATAGTAAGAAGTAACTTGTTAGGCGTGACCAATACAATATTTGATAATATTTATTAATACACAATCATAAGTGTCTACTTGCTATTAGGCATGACGCTATATGATCACATGTTATTAGAAAATATCATTACACAACGATTCTTGAACATATAGATATTTTATTATGTTCTTTAACCTAATTACCCCCTAACCTCCATACATTACCTGATAACAACCATCAAATTACACACATCTATCGAGACTGAAAAGTAAACTTTGACTGACAATTTAAATAGATAATCACCCTTCACTTGTTTCCATATAAATTATCATTCATGGATCACTTTTCGCATTTGATAGATGTGTGTTAGCTGATGGTTGTTAACATGTGAGGTATGGATGTTGAGTGGTAGTTAGGTTAAACAACATAAGATGAACACCAACATTAAAGGAACACTAACTGAGTACATCTCACCATCAGATCCACAACAATGCATAGGAGGAACGTAAAGAGTTTGAGTGGTCAACAAACAATAGATGAGTACTTAGACAACCAATTTATTTCTAGAAATTAGCAACAAATGTATTTTCTTTTTTATAATAAAAATATTTTTTGTGTTTATAAATGATTTGTTAATAATAATATCCATTAATTCCATGATAATTTTCAGAAAAGTCCCAATATTTTGGTTATCAAGTAATTTTTGGAAAAGTCCCAAAATTTTGAGCAAACTAACGAAAAAGGACAGAATACCGGCTAAATCTGCGAAACCGCCTGAAAAGGGTTTTTTCGAAGATTTCCCTATCAGATAACACTAAATAAGACTATCTTTTGGTTTACAGGTATCAGAAGTAAAAGTTCATTTGTTACATCTTTTGGTCGAATGTATATACTTGATTGAATTTTTTTGTTATTTTGTTAATTTGTTATGGAACTTGCCAAAAGCCCAAAACCTTTAATTATACAATGAAATACAAAACAAAAATTTAACAACATTTACGTGAACCAGATCCAATCCAGCGCCAACGGCGCATGTAATTCCTACTAGTTCATATAATTTCATTTGATTTAGTATGAATGATTTATTGAAGATTTTTGACAAACTTCGCATCTTCATAAGTCAATTTATGAGATCAAAGTAGTTGAGTCCATTAGGTTGTCTTTGTTACACGTAATATGAATGCACAGACAAGAGATTTGTTTTAAGACTAGTTTTGATGACGGAGATAATATGACAATAATGACTTTTGCATAAATAATATATTAGAGCTAGACTTTTCCCATATAATTCTACTTTTTCTTAATTTGGATTTTTTATTTTGTTTTTTTGAACAGCAAGAAATAATACTATAAGGAAAAATATTACATTATTTCTTATTGACATAAAACTCTTTTTTTATTAGCAAACTAACCACTCCTATTCTAATTATGTCTTGGTTAAATACATACCAAACACTGCACAACACAAGATCTCCTTCTATCATATATAATCATGTTTTGAGTAACAAATGTCAATGGTGTATAGGGATAAAGTAACTAGTTCATTCAGATCTGTCTGTTGGCCAACCAGACTAATTTTCATAAATTCGACTTGATCTACACAGAAGCTTGATTGGAATTTGAAAATATACCTCCAATCAAGACATTAATCACATCAGCCATCAAGGACCTCCGATACAGAAAACACTAGAAACAAAAAATCTAACATAAACAATAACTTATTTACCTTTAATGCATACAACAAACAATTGGATCATCATACAAGAAACCATGGAATAAACCCATAAAATCGATGGTGTTAACTTTTAAGACAATACAACCAAAATCCAATTAAAAGATGACATACTATAAGAATCAGCGTTTTTGGGTGGGTTTCTGATACTTGTCTTTAATCCATTGCATACCGGCGAAAGTCCCCTGTTTGACCAACTTAGCACAATTGACAGCGACCTGTTTGGTATTCTCATACTTTACGGCCATCGCTCCGCCACCGTTACTGGTTTTCTTTTTAAACATATAATTAAAAGAAGCAGGCATAGGTGCATTGCGATCCCATTGTTCATCAGGCATCTGTGGATTCTTGTCATTACAATGCTCAGCCCACGACTTGCCAGGCATCCTTTTCTCTTCTACTTGATCGATTAATTTCTGCAGCACTCAGCAACTCCGCCGAAGCTTAATAACTTGGATTAATTGGTCAATGTATTTATAATACAAAGTAGAAACGAATCGACACTCGAATTCGATTATAAAACTGTATCTTAAAGACCAATCCCTCACCCTTTCCTTTTCTTTCCACGTTATCTTTTATGGTCAATTGCTAAAATAAAAAGTTGGTAGTTTAAAAGTTTGATAACATTATTATATCACCTCTCCTCTCCTCTTTTGCATTAAATTAATAATATTACGATAAAAATTAAAATAAAATTAATACAAATTATAAGATAATATAATTTCACGTATTTAATTAAATTAAAGATTATAATTTTATATAACTAAGAAAAATATCTTTTAACAAATAATTTATTTAAAACAATTGATTAATAATTTTGATTTTTTACTATGAAAATTTAATTAATTTTATAATTATGGTTTCCGCAGATTATAAACTAGTATTACATAATCCTATTGAATAATCCCTATAAATCGACACTTTCTTTAAGCACTTTTCTTTATCTAGGTGAATAAATCCCAATAAATCACGTCATATTTTCGAAATATGATTTACTTCATAAGTATTATTATCCCATAATTATCCCATCCTAAAATGGAATTCGATTTCTTTCTTATCTAATGAACAATCTAACTTTAAATATGTCATATTTTTAATCTACCCTAATAAATAAGAATGATTTTATCACATGTCATTCTCTCATTCAATTGGCCACATGTCATTTTGTCATAATTTTGAGATATATTTATTTTCCACTTGTCATTACTTCATTTTTCATTTCCAATATATCATTAACTAGTTGTGAAACCACTCGTATATTATACGGGTTGATTAAAACAAAATGTTAAATATGAACGATTTAATGGGAAATTTATTTGAATTTGAAATTTGAAATTTGAAATTTGAATTAAGTGAAAATTATGAGAAAAAAAAACATACAAAAAATAAATAAGTTAAAATTATGTGTTTAGTTATCAGACCTGTGTACTAAACGGGTTAATTATAAGAAAACATTAAACATAAAGATTTAAACTGTAAATTTATTTGAAATTAAAATTTAAAATTTGAAATTTGAAATTAATAGTCATTATGATATGTTTTATTTATGGAAACTAAATTAATGATATATTGGAAATGGAAAATGAAGTAATTGATAAGTGGAAAATAAATATATTTCAAAATCATGACAAAATGACATATGACCAATTGAATGAGAGAATAACATGTGACAAAATCATTCTTATTTATTAGGGTAGATTTAGTTTCCATAAATTAAACCTACCATAATAACTATTAATTTTAAATTTCAAATAAATTTACAGTTTAAACCTTTGTGTTTAACATTTTGTTATAATTAATCCATTTAGTACACGAGCTAATAACTAAACACATAATTTTGATTAATTTACTTTTTGTATGTTTTTTTTTCTCATAATTTTCACTTATTTCAATTTTCAAATTCAAATAAACTTCTCATTTAATCGTTCCTATTTAACATTTTGTTTTAATCAACCAATATAATATACGAGTCTCACAACTAGTTTTTAATGTATCTCAAACAATCAAGAGCTAAATAATCGCAGTTACATGTATACATCCAATCCCCGTATTAAATGAAATCTCAATAATATTCATCGCCATCCCGTCGCAGTTATCTTTTGATTGCACATCTTCCTTCACCACGAAAATTGCACCAAAGACACCAAAGAACATCATGTTAGTACTTCATATATCGATTTGTTTAATTATTAGTTGTTTTTGCATGTTTAAGCATGTAATACGTCTACTTTCTGTTTTGATTTCTACATGTATTACTTTTTTGTGCATGTCTAATCATGTAATTGTCAAAAAAAACAAAAGCATAATGCTATTTCATGCTGTGTATATCTAAGTGTGTATGCCGTGCCATGTGTGTGTGTTTGTGTAATCATATAATGCTTCTTCTTCAACTTTCAATTTCTATAGGCATTAGTTTTTTTTAAATAATCAATCCAAAGGCAGTATAGTACTAATTACCATTCTGCCTTGGATACCCTTTGTTGTAACTTTAATATACTACTAGAACGTGTTATGTATTAATTCCCCAAAACCTTTAACATTGTCATTTTTATATATCATATGTGTTTTATTAAAAAAATGCCAAAATATATTAAATTGTGATGTTATAAATCCTAAAAACGAGTACATTGCTTTTTCGGGTGTTAAATTCCAGAAATACCAATGTACTTTTCTAAAATATATTTGAGAAATTTGTGAAAAAAAATCATAAGTTTGTTCCTGTGTAAATAGTTGTTTATTTCAAAATGTGTGTAGGCTGTTATAGCTATGTACTTTTCTTGATAGAAACAGTCCCTGTTTCAAATAAAATACCTAAAATGTCTATTTTTACCTAAACTGCCCTTATACCATGTGCTTTTAGATTAGTAGAAATTGCCAAAATAAATGCAATTGTGTTGTTATAAATCCTAAAAAACAGAAATAGATTGCATTTTGGAGCGTTAAATACTTAAATTCCACAAATACCAATGTACTTTTCTAAAATATATTTGAGATTTTTTTGAAAAAAACTGTATGTGTGTTCCTGTGTAAATAGTTGTTTATTGTGCAGAAATATCACTTTACTTTGAAAAATAATTCAATTTATAGCATCATTCTTTCATTTCTTTCCGGTATAGCAAGAAATTGCACTTTACTTTGAAAAAAAAGGACGGAAATTAAGAAAAGATTCAATTATAAGGGACCATTTTGTATTTTACCTTTGTGTAAGCTTTCAATTTTCTGTTTTGTTCGATTTTGGCTTTGAATTAAAATTATGCAATGAAAATTGATTTTGTTCTACTTTTGGATGTGTGTGTATGTTTTACAACTTTTCGGTTAATTGCAAGATATAGCATCTTACTTTGTTTAATATGTCATCCTACTTTCATTTCTTCTTGTTAGAAACATTTTACTTTATAAGGTGCAATGATATAATAGAAAGAAATGATAGTAGGATGTTAGAATAAACAAGTAATCAAACATGTAAATGAAATTACAATAAACAAAACTAATTACTTAATAGTTGCTGACTGAGAAAGTGCTGATTGGGAAATGTCTGTCTGAGTAATAAATTCTGACTGAGAAAGAAATCATGTTGTTTGATTGTACATCTGACTGAATGTGCTGACTGATACAAAATGACCATTTTACCCTCGTGCTCTTTATAATAATAATAATATTATTATTATTATTATTATTAATATTAATATTAATATTAACAATATTAATAATAATGTATACAAAAACTTCCAGCAAAATAGACATTAAATATACTCTTTTAGAGATTAAAACACAAAAAACCATCTAGCTTGGTGGTGAACACCATTGTTTGTATATAGGAGACCCGAGTTCAATTCCTGCAACCTCCCATTTCACTTGTTGAGCTGTGAATTTTTATCCAAGGGCAAGGGTATTATTGGAAAGCTTTGCTTTCTTTCTCAGTCAGCCTTCTCCCAACTCCTTTCTCGGACATACATTTCTTACCGAGTCAGATGGCCAAAATTGGATTATCAAACAGATTTTGCTGACCGAGTCAGCCAAAAACGTCTGACTTGACCGAGATGGCCAAAATTGGATTATCAAACAGATTTTGCTGACCGAGTCAGCCAAAAACGTCTGACTTGACTCGGTCAGACGCGTATCAAACGGGGGAAAAAATGTAGTCAACATGTATAAAACCCTGATTCCATCAAACCAAAATAAAAGGTCATATATAAGAGGGAATAAATCTGGGGAAAAAACTGACAACGACAATCAGAATAAAAGATGATCAAATAATCCCTCAACAGGAAAACTTATGGTTAGTCGCTCAAAGCACAATCAACAAAACCATCCACGCTAAACTTTTGAGAAAATTAACCCAAATCGTATACCCGATTTGACAAAAAAAAAGGCCAACCAAACCCAAGTTTATTTGCCATAAATCCAAATCTCCTCAGATCTCTACACACACACACTCAAAAAAAAAAAAAAAACAGATTGAATAAGTTATGGCGGATTGAAGAGGGAAAGCATTCGGAAAAAATTAGAGCTCAGATAAATCGATTGGGAAGTTTATAAGAAAAATACATTCAGGAATCTATCTACCATGCAAAAATTGGAAGTAATTTCATTGTTCAATGAAAATTCACGCCACAGGTAGAATGAGGGATTAACGTCGTCCCTTATTGATGGTGCGTGGTTGCATCAGCAAACGCCGATAGCAGCAAGAACTACGATGTTGCCCTTCTTTCCCGTTCTGTGACTTTCTCATTTCCATTTTTCTCTGATTATCGATCTCTGTATGTCCAAACCCTCTCATGTTCTCATTTTGGCACGCATTGCATACAAGGATCACATATACTCTTCTCTATTTTTTTGGTTCTTTTCTGTGTGCATATGGCTTATTGATCTTGATTAGTTAACCCGTAAATATATTATTTATTACATTTTTTTTAGAAAGTTGAGAAACTAACCCTTATAGAAATAACTAACTTATTATTATTATTTTTAAAATAATTACTTTCTCTGAAATAGCCTATTTCGAAACACTTAAGAACATTTCAGATTTGTGTCGCTCAAAGTATTCCAAAATACGATATTCTTGAGCATTTATTTTCGTTCATGAGATGTGAGTTGTTGGTAGGAATTAGATTACACCCCAAACATTTTGGATAGAAAAAATGTATTCTGGGTTGTACTCTGGAACGGTCGTACATTCCGGAAGTCCGTTCCGAAGAGCTAAAATTAGGGTATTTGTCTGTTTTTGTTCCGGAATGAGTACGTATATGGGATTTTTTTCGAGTGTCAGTTTCTAGTGGAGGACAATGACAGCGTATCGAAAGTGGGGAGTCATGGATATGATTTTTATCAAGACACAAAAAATATATTGGGGACATGTCGTCTTTGGCTATCATATCAGAGCCAATTCAGTTGAAATGGCTATTCAAGTCGTGTTCCTGAATGCATATTATAAACTATGTTGTCACCATTTGTTGATGAATATGAGAGCAAAGATCGGCAAGCAAGAGAGAACAAAGATTTTGTTTTGGGAGGCTACAAAAGCTTACCGACAGTCTGATTTCAAAAAAAGCTTGGGTAGGCTACGTTGTGCACTAAATAAAGATTGGCATACATGGCTAGATAGAATCGATTACGAGAAATAGGAAAGGTCGTGTTTCCCTATGGTTCGGTACAATATTATGACATCAAACAATGTCGAGTCCATCAATGTGTTATTAAGATACGCATAGAAACCACCAATAACAATGTTGATTGATTTCTTTCAAGCAACTATGCAACAATGATGGTGCCAACGACGTAACATTGGAGGTAACTATTTATATTATAATACTTCCATGATAATTTTAGTATAATAAACTATGCATGACAAGATATGTATACAAATTTTTTATAGCTGAAAGCAAAAAGGATATTACTGAGTATGCTGAGAAGGTTATTGATAGGAGGATCAACAAATCCTCCGGTTTTCGGGTATACTAGATTGATCAAAGCAGATATGAGGTGACTGACCAAATGAAAAATGGTATAGTAAACTTGGAATCTCGTTGTTACACGTGTGGGAAAAGGCAATAATTATCAGCACTACAAGAAATATACCCTTTAATGACGCGCAAACAATGACACTCGCTGATTACGATATGCATTTTTGTGTGTCCTTAAAAATAATGTCAGCCTTCCAAAATTTGAAGGATAGAGGACACGCATTTTTGCGTGCCTTAAAATTAATGTCCAACAAAAAAAAATACAAACACGGAGGGCACTTGTTTTAAATGTGTGTCCTCTAGAAATGTCGCTTTATATTTTTTTTTATCAAACGCGCGTTTTTAAAGGGCAAAAATGAAATCCTCTGAAATTCTAAAATTTTGAAGTGCCCGCTTCTTCAATCTCTCCTCTGTATCTCCCTTCATTCACTAATTCCTAGGGCTTTTTCATGGAAATTCAAAACGCTCTCCGATTCTCGATCGATTCTCCCAGGCCTCTGCAACAATCGACGATCTCACTTCAGGCTTACTTCTTCTCCGATGAGCATAGGGTCACCTCCCCGGGTCCATCCTCCTCGTCATAAAATCATCCAACTAGGGATTTTTTTTCTCGATCTCTTCATGTCCGTCCTCCCAAAATAAGGAAGAAACTAGTTTGATTTCTCCCCTAAAACATGGTACGACTTCTCCTAATTCCAAATTCACTCTTCACTATTTAGGTTATCGGCTCAAAAACTTCTCCCTAAAACCTGGTTTGATTTCTCCAACATTCCAACAAACCTGTTTTTCAAAATGAAACCCATATGGGAGTTAGTTTTCTCCCTCATTCCCATGTCGGAGTTCAATTTCTGCCATATCCTCATAATTTCTAACTAGCGCTTTTGAACCATTCATATGTTGAAGATCAGAAATCGGAGGTTCAAGGTAAAATTGATGCTACAGATTGATTGCTTTGTATTTTTCAAAAGGGAACATGTCGATGAGCTCCTTCATCATCCAATAAAAAATGGTGGGCGGCCTTTCTTAACTTCACCTCATTCTTCGCTCATGCCAACATCTCTATCGATAAGTAAAAAAATTCCAAGCGTTTCCCCAAAGCTATTTGCCACTGTGCCACATCCTGCTTGGTTTGAAGCGCCATTCCCTTTGGTGAGTCACCCTCTATCAAGAGGTCCAGCCACCGCCACAAAAAGACTTGGAGGTGGGTTTAACTATTTATCTTAGGGTTCTCCTCAACCTCCTTACTTTTTAATCGGTCCGACCAGCTCGTGGTTCCGTTCTAGGGTTTTGTTTCCATCTTCCTCTTGAACACCACATGATTCATCCTTATTATCTTTTCTTTTACAGGCTTTGAAAGAACGACGATTATATGTTCCCTTTCATTTGATTCTTGGGTCTTTTCAACCAAAATCATAGGATTATATTTCAATTTGGATTCCAGTTCATGAGGTATGGTTAGATTTTGGTTGTAGTTCGTTTTAGAGCTTCAATGTTCACCCGTTTTCACCTAAATTCATCTTCTAGCGATTTGTTTCTCTGCATATATGTTGAAGTCTTATATTTATTCTCTTTTCTTCCATTTGAAGGTGAATACACAACGTCTCTCAGTATAAGTGATTAGTTCGATCCCACACTCTTTTAGTCTCACTCTCTGGGATTATTTCATTTTGGAAGGAAGATCTTACAAGTTTCTATCGGTTGAATGGGATCCAGATGAACAGTCCCTGTGAGCAGAGCTACTTACCAAGTACGTAATCCTTTATTGTGTTAATCGTTGCTAAAAGTTGAGCTGTTTGGAATTAATTAGTCTATATATGCTTTGTGGGTATGATAATTTTTGGGGGTTTTCTATTGTTGGTGTGATTATCAACTAGAGATTATAGGAAAAGATTAGTAAACTTTGCAAACCTAATTAGATATCCTTTAAAGTCAAAATATATTTCAAACTTACAAGTTACAAGTGCAACCTTTCATGCTTAGGGAATATTTCAGATGTTATGTAGCTTAACTGTTATGCCAAGGTTTGTGTTCTTTTGTTCTTTCTCCTAATTCCCAAGCTCAATTGATTTCTTATTATGAACATGATTATTCACCTGTGGATAATAAGGGTGGGAGGCGAGTAAATGGAGAAATAGAATCAAGTCAAAATGAAGGAAGCATAAAGACATGGCTCGTTCCTTGGCTAGCATTTATGAGGACAACCCCGCCCACATGGTGGAAACACAACTTAACAAGGTGCAATTTCGATTTTTATTTTATTCTGTTTTGTCTGTTCATTTGTTCTTAGCATTTGCTAATTTGGGTTTTTTTTTAATTATTTTTCAGATTGAAATATAATTTATGATTTGTGGTTGCTTAAGTGTATAAGACTATAATCATGTCTGAATAAACACACAAGTGCAACTTATTCGCATTCAATTGAGAGTACCAAAATACGGATGGACAACACAAAAAGTTTCCCACTTGATGAATTTTGTGGTTAATGGATGTAAGGTTGCTACTCATTTTCATAGTTTCTTTACCTTTTATCTACCTGTATATTTGATTCTTATACATTCATATGCCTTTCCATAGTAAGAGCTCTTTAATTTGGATTTTCCTAGTTTTCTATTTTCTCAACATACATGTCACTTGTGTTATTCTGGGCTGAGATATACCATCAGGTATTCACAATTAAGAAACTATGTAATCCTTTTTTATTATCTTTAGTCACAATGTTGTAATGTTTTTTTGTTGATATAAATAATAAATCTGGTTCTTGTCTCTGAATATCAGGCAAGAAGCCTTCCAGCAGATAAACTCAGACCTGCATATTTCATTGTCAATGGAGCTATATACTTCCTTCAGGTAATACAAAAACTCACAGCCAAACTAGTGTTTTTTTATAATTTTTTTCTTTGAACTATGTTGTAATTGTATTTAAACATTAGATTAGCATCTGGATATATATGAGATTCAGCCTTGTTGGTGTGGAGATTGCTGAACTACTTCTCTCGGGTTTGACAAATTAAAAAAAAAACTACTTTTTCTTATTTATTTTTTAAAAGTTTAAGGAGTTGGAATCAAGAACATTGAAATTTGGTGATTTGATTGGACAACAGAGGCAACTAAAGAGGCGGATCATGTGGATCTTAGGTCCAAAATGCTCACCATATTTATCCCACTCCTTGTTGATGAGGTTTTTAATATGATTCTTCTTTATTTTTTTTTTGTTTATTTTAGAAGAAAGTTTCTAAATTGATTTATTTCCTTCACAGAGTTCCTTTTTTTCACACTTCATGTGCTTTGGTGTTTCTAAACTTCCAAAATCTTAGACATGATTCAAGCCAAAACTCCTATTCGATAACTTTTAACTTTTAAGTAATCACGATTTGTTTTGTTAGTTTAAAGGCAATTAATTAATTATACTCACTTTAATAGCTTGTAGCATAAAAAGCATTGCAATTGGAAGACCAAACAATTCACCAACTATTCTTGTGAATCTATTGATAATAGAACATACACCAAGAATAGAACATACACCAAAACCAATAGAAAAGCCGTCCACACGCAGACCCTGTTTTCAAAATAAAAACTTTATTATATATATATATATATATATATATATATATATATATATATATTTTTTTATGCCAAAAAAAGGTGTGGTTAATAATATTATATATTCTTTCGCAGTCGTCCAATATGCAACTTTTTTTTTTACCTTCAATGATTTATCTAACCCTTTTTTTTCATATGGTTTAACTAATTTTTACAATGTAGGTGTATAATGAGCTTGCAGATCGTTGTGGGGTACCCCGGCTGGCAAAAAAGTTGAACCAGGTAAATCCGGACTAGGGTTTTATCTGCTCATTATGGATCAAACTTTATATTAACTTATGTCCTCTTTTGTAGATTTTGGTGAAACATATAAAAACAGTGTTACCAGGGTTGAAGGCACGTATTAGTGCTGCATTAGTTTCTGTAGCAAAAGAACATGCTAGTTATGGAGAGATTACAGAGTCTAAGGTATTTAATCTGCTTATCAATTCTATTTCAGACAAGTTTTTACCTTTTTACCTTATTAACTTCTGTTTATTACTGATTTATAGGTTGGCATGGGAGCTCTTCTTCTAAATATTCTTTCAAAGTATTCTGAAGGTGATACTGGTCTTGTTGTTTTTATATTTAATAATGAGTACATGTGCATGTTTGGTGAATCTCATAGATGATCTTCATGATTTCTTTAAACAACCTTTTCTTCAACGATTGAGGGTAAAAACAAAGAGATGTCAACATCTGAGTTGTCAGGAGGAGCAAGAATACACTATATTTTCTAGTCAATATTTGTCAAAAGTTTGGAGGTGTGTCTTTATTATCCATTTCACATTTTCACCTATTAATATTTAACGCCCAAATCCCTTAGTTTGCAATAAATATATTTAATCAATCGAGTTACTGCTGCAGGAAGTTGACCCTTGTGAGGACTTGACTGATGATGAGATCAGAACTGCCATACAAAATGCAACAGGCCTTCTGAAACCATTTTACGTGATGGTCATCAGCCTTCTGAAACCATGATTGGGCACATAGTTGAAATGGATGTATGCATCATTATCTCTGTTCTTTATTTTATCGTGACATGGTTGAAAATATTTCTTTTTTTGGGTAGATGGATTACATAAAGACTTCACACCCGAATTTTGTGGGTGAGAGTAAAGCTGTGGAGGTTACCTTGCAGCAAGTGAAATCTTTTAAGCTTGCAACAACAGTGTCGAAGCAAAAGGTGTGGTTAATAATATTATGTTTTATTGTAAGTTTAGTGGTTTTGCATGTTTACTTATATATTTTTTTTGATTGATTTTATATTTTGTAGGATGGAGTTGAGTCTGAAAAAGCTCCACAATCTGAAAGGGGTATAAAGTCACGTGCAATTCTTGCTAGGCCTGTTAATGGAATTGTCACAGAACAGGTTCTCTTTTTTGCATTTAACATTTAAACCCGTTTTAGCATTGTTGTTGGAGAATATTTTAGAGAAGCAGATTCTTTTTCTAAATTTAAAAAAAAGTTAACATAGCTTTCCAATTGCATGTTTACAGCATAATCAACCAGGGTCTCGAGCAGTTGGTGAGGTTGAGAAGCCAACAGCTGGTAACCTTTTGTTTTAACAAAAACAAGATGTAACTTATAGAACCTTTTAATAGCATAAAAAAAATTAAATGAATTTATTTGTATTTTTCCATGAAGCACAAGTTGGGGAATCTCATCGATTTTTGGTGGGTCAGAAAGTCGCACTTCTGTGAAAGTAAATCCTGCAAACAAGTTGTTTAATGATGAACCTATTCAGGCTATGGATCATTCATTTTCTATGATCCATCTGAGGGAGGTATTTATTTTTATGGTTTTATCCCAATTTCTTCAAAAAAGATTATATATATATATATATATATATATATATATATATATATATATAACTCCAATAATTAATGTTTGATTAATTTCCAATAATAGCCCCCAACAATTTTGAGGCCCTCGGATGCTCACTCTTTGTTTCATATAGTATTTTAAAGAATGTTGACTCTTTGTTGACTGATTGTTGGTTTTTGTGTAGTACGGTGCTTTATGTTTTGATACTAGTATTGGTCAAGGGGGTACTATTGCATGGAAGGTGCTTCAATACACATTTGCTTACAACAATGTACACAAACTAAGGAAATAGGAAAAGACACAACGGAAATTGGAAACGTTTCAGAGCTTCTTCAGACAGCTTAATGATGAGTTACTGAAACAAGAAGGTGCCCATTTATAGCAATGTAGTATTAGGTTATATAGTTAGGGAAAACCTCTTAATAACAATGTACAATTAGATCCTTTAATATCAATGTATTACAATTTTTTGACATGATGTTATTGGATGAAATTGATTGTTTTGGTATATATATTTTTTCTATATTTTTGTATTATGTGTAAAAGAGTATCGTAAAAGCACGTCGTATATGCATATTGTAAATGGTTGCTGAAGTTTATGACACGCAAATGCATGTCATCTTCATTTATGACAGGGGCTATAATGATACGCAATGCGTGTCCTAAACGCGCGTCGTAAGGTTACGACACGCAAATGTGTGTCGTCTTTCCTTTATGACGGGCCCTTCCTTGATACGCATTGCTGTCGTAAATGAGCGTCGTAAATGCGTGTCGTAACTGCGCGTCGTAAATGCGCGTCGTCTATAGACGACGCGCAAAAGCGTGTTGTCTCTCGTTATGACAAGGCCTTCCTTGACACGCATTTGCGCGTCGTCTGAGTGTTTTACGACACGCATTGCGTGTCGTAAAAGACTGTTTTTCTAGTAGTGCAGGTATACCTTGTTCTCATGCAGTGGCGGTATTCACAGAACTGAGATATCAACACTGCAATACATGGGTATCATCATAGTTCACAATGGAAACATATCGATCAACATATAGAGAGGTTTTGTTTCATGTGACATCCTCTAATTTTCAGAACTAATTAAATATTTCCTTTACGCTTTAAAAATCATTTATTTATATTTGCGGAAAATCCCAGTAAAAAAGTTCATTTTGATTACAAATGTTTGTTTCCAAAACTTTAAAACTCTAAGGATATTATAATCAATACAAATACATAAGTTATAGCATAAAGACCTGATGGTCCTGAATACTATTAGATGTTGTCTCTTAATCACTAGCATCCTAATCAAGTTCCACTAGCTTAAGTCTTGTTACATGTGATGCATATAAACTGAGTGGTTCAGGTTGAGGAAACCTGGTGAGATACTGTGACATCCCCAAAATCTCGGCCAGAAAGGATTGGTTTTATTTATGCTTTTAAAAATATTTTCAGAGTAAATCTTTTTCTTTTATTCAAAAGAGTTGCGGAATTTGTCCCAAAACAAAATATGATAAAATAAAGTTTATCAAAGCATTTTATCAAAGATGCATAATCATTTTATAACAATATTCGGGATGTCATGTTCCGATAAACAGACCAAAAGCATAAACAAATATTACAAGCAATTCAACAGTTGAATTCATATAAAGGCTCATAAACAAAACAACTTGATGATTCATCCATCTTATGCCCTTGCGCCACTTCCTGTAATACAAATAAACTGAGTGGGTCAGGCTTGGGAGCCTGGTGAGCATATAGGGTTTTCAACCCACAATAAATAATTATATTTAATTTTTACCGACCAACAATAACCCGATTACCCATTCCCGTTATCCTCACTTTACGTCCCTAAAATAACATCTATCTAAAGGGACCTAATCTAGGAAAGTTCATCGGGACGGACATTACTGCTAAGGGGTTTCCTCAACAATAGATGTCCTAAAGGCAACCATGTGGGGGAGTAGAGTACACCGGTGAACACGTCGTTCACAACACCTACAGGTTATGAGCCTGCTAGTGTTCCACTGGACTGCCTAGAAGAGTCCGTGGTCGTCATCCATACTCCGCTAGATGACTAGATCAACAACAACATCGAGGCCTCTCATCTGTTTATCACACATCAACTATCTACCCATGTTCTACCCAACATATTAGTAGATAAAAATATATATTTTTATGCATAGTTTTAAACCTGTAAAGCATGTTCATTTAATATATATTCCACATAACAGATAAGGCATACATATATAACACATATTTCATAGATAATATATCATATATATGAGATAGAAGAAAGTGAATATACATTCACACATATAACAACCAAATATACACATCACACATATTTTATAATAAATACTTCATAATATGCGTTAGAAGAAAGTAACTACACACTCACTTGTTCAGAAGATAACCGGACAGCACTACGACTTGTAGAAGTAGTATTCCTCGGTAGTCCTGGAAGATCTTCACAAAAAAACGAGCTTCTCGCGAGCAGAGCTTCGGCTCGAGAGTTGCACTTCTCGGGATCTTCGGGGCTTCAAAACTTGCTTCGGGGCTCGGGAATAATATCGGGGCTTCGGGATATTATTGGCACATAAACCAAGGCAAAATCTAGAGAGAAAGAATGAAGAATGGCAAGGAAATATGGCTGATCTCGGTCTCTATTTATAGGGGCTGGAAAACCCCGATTACGCTGGGCGTAACTTCAAGTACGTTGGGCGTAATCTCAAAGTACGCTGGGCGTACACGACGTCACTGCATACGTCACCTAGCAGTACTCGATTAGTTGCCGGCTCCTTTTCCTTTTCTCCGGTGTAAAGTAGATTCCTCCGGTCGAATAATAAATAAATAGATAAATAAATATTAATTATTTTAAAAACTTTGGAAATTCATATCTTCTTCATATGAACTCCGTTTTCGACGTTCTTTATATCCACGCGTAGGCGGGAACGTAATCTACAACTTTCGTTTAGACTCCGTCGGCTAATTTTGATTTTATTTTAACAGTTATATTTTCAACAGGCCGGGACATGATTAGTCCGTTAAAAATTCATAACTTCTTCATCCGACGTCCGTTTTCGTCTGTCTTTTTACCGTTGCATTACTATTAACGAGATCTTCAATTCTCGTTTAGGTTGTGTCGGCTAAAAACCGCTCGATCTCAAATCGAGTATTTGGGCTGTATACCGCTAAGCTGAAACTTAGAAAAATCATAACTTCCTCATATGAAGTCAGATTTGGGCATTCTTTTTATGCACGCTTTCGGTTTAACGAACTCTACGACTTTCGTTTAGATCGCTAAGGCTAAAACTCGCTTTATCGTAAATTCACTATTTACGCTTCCCGGTATCGTGTCGGTTCCGTCGTGAAACTTCGTCGGGTCATAACTTCTTCGTTATAACTCGGATTTTGGCATTCTTTATATATTCGGAAACCTCGTCACGACCACTACCACATCCTTCATAGATATCGGGTTTATCTAACATTTCATTTTGACGCTTATTTTTATTCTTTATTAATTATACATAAAATAATAAGCACATAAATTCACATAATTCACAAAATACTCAAATATTTCATCTTTATTACATCAAAAGAGTTACAATAGTTGACCTAGACTATTACATCGTCTAAAAATGCTTAGCCCCGAAACCCGGGCGTTACAATTCTCTCCCCCTTAGGATGATTCCGTCCCGGAATCATGCGTCAGCAAACAGATGCGGATAGCGACTCATCATGTCATCCTCTGTTCCCAAGTGAGATTCGGCCCATTCGAATGTTTCCATCGGACTAGCACTAAGTCGACCATCTTGCGTCGTAACTTCTTAATCTTACGGTCAACAATTGCCTCGGGCTCTTCGATTAGCCTCTTATTCTCATCCATTCTTAACTCCGAGATCGGAATTATGTCGGGAACTTCTCCCGTGAATTTCCTCAGATAACATACATGGAAGGTGTTATGAATACCATCGAGTTCTTCGGGCAATTCCAGCTTGTAAGCTTGGTTCCCAATCTTCTGAAGAACTTTGAACGGTCCAATAAACCTTGGACTCAGCTTTCCTCGTTTCCCGAATCGTATAAGTCCTTTCCACGGTGAGACTTTAAGCAAAACGGAATCCCCAACTTCGAAGGTCATCGGTCGTCTTTTCTTGTCAGCATAGCTCTTCTGACGATCCTGAGCTGCTAACATCCTTTCCCTGATCACCTTCAGCTTCTCAGCAGTCTCATGGACTATCTCGGGGCCCATAAACTGCTTTTCGCCAGCCTCAAGCCAACAAGAAGGCGTACGACACTTTTGTCCATACAAAGCTTGATAAGGTGCCATCTTGATGCTCGAGTGGAAACTGTTGTTGTAGGAAAATTCTACCAAAGGTAAGTGCTCATCCCAGTTACCTTGGAACTCGAGGGTACATGCTCTCAACATATCTTCAAGCGTTTGAATCGTTCTTTCACTCTGACCATCAGTCTGCGGATGGTAAGCTGTACTCAGACATAACTTCGTACCCAATTCCTCTTGTAGACTTCTCCAAAACCTTGACGTGAAACGACTATCACGATCCGATACAATTGTTAGAGGAACACCGTGAAGTCTCACAATTTCCTTCACGTAAGCATTTGCAAGCTTATCCATAGACCACCTTTCATTGGCAGCTATGAAGTGTGCACTCTTTGTGAAACGATCCACGACCACCCAAATCATGTCGTGACCGTTCTTCGTCCTGGGTAGTTTAGTCACAAAATCCATGGTGATGTCTTCCCATTTACCCATGGGTACAGGTAAGGGTTCTAAACTCCCATATGGTTTCTGATGTTGTGCCTTAACTCTTGCACAAGTTACACACTCGGCCACATATTTCGCAACGTCGAGCTTCATCGTCGGCCACCAGTAGTAGGGTTTTAGGTCCCTATACATTTTAGTGCTACCGGGATGAATCGAGTACATGGTCTTGTGAGCTTCTTCCATCAGAAGATCTCTTATTCCTCCAGTCTTAGGTACCCAAATCCGATCTTGGAATACCTTTAGTCCTTGACTGTTTGTACCAAACAGTAATGTTTTTCCCAAACGTTCTTCTTTTCGGTCACTCTTCTCTGAGGCTTCTTCTTGAGCTTCCCTGATACTTTCCACAATGGTCGAGACAACTTCTATTCTCAACGCTCTTGGCCTTTTTCTTTCAAGGTTGACTTTTCGACTGAGAGCATCAGCGACAACGTTTGCTTTACCGGGGTGGTAAAGTATCTCACAGTCATAGTCCTTGAGTAATTCTAGCCAGCGTCGTTGCCTCATGTTCAATTCTTTCTGATTA